TTTTTTTTTGAGACAGGGTTTCTCTGTGGTTTTGGGGCCTGTCCTGGAACTAGCTCTTGTAGACCAGGCTGGTCTTGAACTCACAGAGATCTGCCTGCCTCTGCCTCCCGAGTGCTGGGATTAAAGGCATGCGCCACCACCACCCGGTAGGTCCAGGGTTTGAACTCAGGGCTTTGGCTACAAGCCCTGGCTGAGCCATGTCTGAGCTCTGAGTTTGCACTCAGTGGTTAAATGCTGTCTTTAGCTCATTCCATCCCGACAGGAGTGGGGGGGGGGGCTGTGATCACCCCCGTTTTACAAGAACTTTCCTAATGCTGGGGTCTAAGTTTCTGAGCGGGATGGGTTTGAACTTGAGGCTGTTTAAAAGTTAAGACGGCCCATTCAGCCTGGGATGCATGGGTCTGTTCCCTGTGCTGGAGCCACAGCAGCCTCTCTGGGGCCTTGTGGGTCTGGATCCTGAGGGCAGAAAAACACATGTCTGGAGCAAGCTTCCAGTCACAGCTGGAATCCTATACACACACACCCGCTGCGACCTGGCTTGGAGCTACAGGGCAGCCACTGAGGCACAGGGCAAGCTGGGACCCTAGTGGAGTCACAGAGAGGGAGGGACCCACCATCTCACTCCTCCCCTAGCTTGCTGAATCACAACCCCATCCCCAACATGGTGCAGAGTGTAAACTGAGGCAGCATGACCCTGACAACTGGTCAAACACACATACGGAGACACAAATACATGAATAAAAACATAATAAAAAATTAAAAGCCTAGTCCTGTTGCCATGGCCACTAGCCTATGTGGATGGCCTCTTTTGGGTTACATAGCTATTTAAGTTTCTATAGTCTCAAGTTCATTTACCTCACAAAGGCTTCAAGGGGACCGGAAGCCTGCAGGCTGGGCCCCCAGACTCCTACAGTCGACAAAATCACCAGGGTCCACAGCCACCACAGGCTCCAGGCCACCCTGAGGACACGTGCATAACCACCTGTCTGACACACACCGAGGTCTGGCGAGATGGCTCGGTGGGGGCTTGCTGCCAAGCTCGATGACCTCAGTTCCATCCCCGAGTCGCACTGTGGAAGGAACTCTTCCTCCAGCCTTTACGCACGTGATAATTGAATGGAAAATGAGGGTGTTCTGGCAGGCAGGAGCCCGCCTCCACTGTGTCCCCACCCAAAGCTGCCTGGGGACAATTACAGTGTCCCAGACACTGCACAGACAGGTCTAATGTTTAATTCATCCTGAGATAATGACAGGGGTAACTTAGATCCTTCACTCCTGGTCAGTGTGCTTGGTGGCTGCCAGGTGGAGGTTTGTGTCCTGAACTGGCCCTGGGGTCCCTCCACCTGTGGGGTATCCTTTCAGGAAACATGGGGGTGCTGGGGACATTGCTGTGAGCTCAGGGACATAATTTCCCTCCCATCTGCACCCCCTGAGTGGGTCATGTGACCAGGTGGGTCAGTAGGCTGGGACTTCCACTGAGAGATGGCGGGAATGGGGAGAAGACATTAGAGTTAGTGATAGGGGAGTGGGCGCGTGTCCGCAGCAAATACTGCGTTGACCTGCCTCACCATGGGAAAGCTGAGGAGCCAGGGACAGGACAGACACCGTGTGACCTCACACGCACACACAATAAATCCACGAGATGAACTATGTAGATTTAATGAACTATGTAGATTTACTTTGTGGAGATCGTGGCTATGGGTTTATGCACTGCGGGTGTAGTTACCTGCGGCGGCCAGAAGAGGGCATCGGACCCACAAAACTGGAGTCACAGGATGTGGGACCCAGAATCTGGGTCCTTGGGAAGAGCAGCAGGTTTCCTAAACGACAGTCAGCCCCAGAAAAGCACAA